TTAACAAGTTTTATTTGGTTTAATTGTTTAAAATAACTTATAGTAACTGATAATAAGTAGTCAATGATTGATATTTATTGTTCTTTATTATTCAAATATTATTAGTGCTTAAATACTATTTCATCTGTTTCAAAATATAAGTCATTTGATATTTTGTATGTAATTCTAAGTAATATTTTATATATCTTATATGGATGGTAATTGAAATTTTCTATATCAAATGAAATTATTCAACAATAATTACTTATAGGAAAAATAAAAAATCTCAATTTTCATTTATATACTATAAAAAATTATTTAAAAATACGTGAAAAAATTAAATGACTTTTATTTTTATTTTTTTAAAAAAAGAAGAAGTATCTATTAACTATAGACTATTCAAAACAAATGATCCAAATGAATGAGAAATTTGGGATTCAATTTCTGGGCTTTCTAGCCCTTACGGCACTGTTCATTACCGCACTGCACGGTATATATAGGTCCAACTCAATTGTTTGGCATTTTTGTCTCTAAAAAGAGATCAACCCAATTCATTATTTATATAATTGGCCCAATTTATAACCAGATCCTCCTAAGTATAAAATTGGCCCAATTGTTTATGGGCTTTTGTTTGGCCCAACCATCTCAAAAATTGTTTCTCCTGCTTCCTAATTGGGTCATAACCAGATCCTTTACCTCCTTGGTTTGTTGGTTTTTATTATTATTATTATTATTATTATTTTTTAATTTTTATTTACTAATCCTTGAAATCTAAAAGTTATATTGAACTTTGATTAAAAGGAGAAGTTTTTTTAATAGCTATCTCTTCATTTATAAAATTTAAAATTATAATTTACTTAAATGAAATTAAATTTTTTCTATTCAAATCAATAAATTATTGACACCTCCATTGGTTACTTGCCACTAAAACTAAGAAAAAAATTAAAATTACAACAAAGCCCAATTTATTGTACACGTTTTGAAAATTAGTGTACAACAACTGAAAGTTAGGAAACCTAGTACGAGATGATATCTTCCACATTATAATTGAGAAGCTATCTTGAAATTCCTTCTAAATAAGCGAAGTTATGAATTTCAAGTTGATTTAGATATTCGTGTGAATATTAAGTCTAAAGCCCAAGGACTTAATATGTTCTAAGTTTTGGGTTTTATTCCTACTCTATGGATTTGTCTAGTATTTGCAATTTGTTAACTAATATTCAGATTAGATAGTAATGTACTTGTATACTATGCAAACTGAATGTAATTACCCATATACTTCATAATAATAATAAAAAGTACTAAATGAATAAGTCTCTTGGATTCCAAAATGCCGTTGACTAATTAATCTTGTTATCTTTATGAGCTTATTTGGGCAAGTTACAACTTTTATAAAAGTTCTATCTAAGTAGATTTATTGGGAAAAAAAGAGTAATTATATAGTTTAAATTACACAATTTAAATCATTAAAAGTGTAAGTCCATTAATATTAGATTTCCTCTATTTAATGATTTTTGTTTCATAATATAATATAATTTAAATTAAAAATAAATTATAGAATATCAGGATGTCCTGACATTTAGAATATCCATTACAATCGTTGATTTCAAGGGTCTCAATTAGAGACCCACTTATTTAACGATTGTGATGGATGTCTTGATGCTAAAAGGTCTTGATTTTCATTCTTTCCAACTAAAAAATAGATAACTCTTAGTGGAATATGACAAATTCAAAAACCAATAGAAATTAGAAAGTTAAGAGCTTGTTTGGCCAATGAGTTCGCTTGCTTTTTGACTTCACATAAAATGCTGGTCATATGCAAACTTGATCCGTAATCTACTATTCACTTTGCCAAAACCTCATAGATTGTGCTTCAATTTTTTAAGTACATAAAATTTTACCTATCACCTTATGATATGTAATTTTATACTTTTTTGATATTCGAGTGTCAAGAACTTTACTTCTTATTTTACAACTTTAAAAAAGTATAATATCATAAACTTAAATATCATGAAAATATAAAATCATGTATTATAAATTGGAAGATAATTCACTAAAAAAATTAAAGGGCAACCTCTGAGTTTTTGCTTGGTTATTTTAATGGTTTTTGTAGTTATAATATAATAAACCTGAACACACCGGCCCACACTCCGCAACAAATCTACATATAAAAATAGGAAAAAAGGAAAAGTCAGAGGCAAAACAACAGCATGGCCCAACAGCTCGGACATCATCATATAATTGACCAGAAACCCTGAACTAAACTAAGGCATCAGGAACCGTGCCTGTCAAGTTCCAACCCCAGTATTCGTCTTTACTCAAAACTCAAATTTGAGCGGCTGCTACTCATTCCAAAGGAATATCCCAATATCAATGTGTAGTCAGCAAAGCATGGGAATGCGATTGGGGCCCGGGGGGAGGGGGGGTTCCACACGTTATTAGGTAGCACCCAACTTTCTTGATCTAATAAGTAACACCTATCCATGGATGCAATGCCTAGATGAGAATCCATCATTCAAAGTACATCTAGCTGTCTAGATGCTGCCATATGTGGACAATATATATAATCTGAACGCAATAACTTCTTTTGGTGATGTATGAGAAAAAGAAAGGGAATGCATAATCTTTACCATTTAATTAGATGCTCGCATCTAAAACTTTGATGCCCAGAATAAAGAAGAGGAAACCATATATAGAAGTCTTTTGTGCAACAACTGCACATTTAGGAACATTTCAGCAAGAGTAATTCTTTATGTGATTTAGTGATGGTTACGTTATTCATTGAACAACAAGTATAATACACTCAACTTTAAGGTTTGAACTTTTATAATGGCAATATATATTAATATTTAATTTAATCATTTTTTTCCGTAAAAAAAAAATTAACATTTCAGCAAAAAATCTTTTACGTTGTATGAGAAAATCTTTGACACTGATAAAGTAAACCTTTTTACGTGGCATGAGAACTTCTAACACCAAAACTTATTGGTTGGGGATACTGCTGATGAGATGACAGGCTTGTTGCATTGAAGAATTTTTTTTCCAATCCCATTCTACAGTCCTTATGCTACCACTAGTTGAACCGGTAACCGGCGGAGAAAAGCTCAATAATAAGCATTTCTCTTAGTCCAAACACACTTAACCAGTGGTGGCAACTAGCAAATATCATTTATGGCAAATATATCATTGTCTTGGAAGAAAAGAACAATATATTGCCGAGATGAATTTTCTGAGTCAAACAAGTTGGAAGAATTATCCCAAGTTTCTGGTTAACCAAACTTCAACAGTCCACGTCCAACACAATTACACGCGAGGAAATTGGTACCACAGAACATTAAAATACCGAAAGCAATTACTAACATCCAGCTTTGATTTCAAAACTCAAAATTCCACGTTCCTGAGTAGAGTAAAATCCTACTTCCTCCTGTCTCTTTGAGACTCGTGGACACTGATTTAGGTAGTGTCTTTTCATATCCGGCAACAGACCGGACTAACTAGTTCAGTTAAATTCCAAGTTTCCCAGTAAATTCCAACCCCAGTTGCACCTAGTATCGAATCCTCCAAAACTAATGATCAGCTACAATAACAAATGCAACTTTTGCTAAACTCAACAAAGAAAATTCCAACCTAACAAGCACCCACCCACCAGAAGTATGGTTCTGGTAGACAGAAGACACTGAATTCATTACCAGGAAGCAATATTCTCTCGAGTCCCACATTTTAGGTTCCTCTCAAACTCTAAAGTCACATAAACAGAATTGAAGCCAATAGATCCGGTAATCAGTAGAATACTAAACATGTACAAAATTTCAGTTCCCTAACAAATCCGTACTAAGTTAGACTCCTACGTTCCCCAGTAGATTCCTCTCCCAGTTGCATCCGACACCAATCAAGCCTCCACAACCACAATACCAATACAACTTTTGCCAAACACAATAAAGAAACAGTATTTCCTAAGTAACATTCAGAAATTCTAAGCCAAAAAGTGACCAAAATAGCAGAACTTAACCACAAACAATAAAATACAGAACTAGAAAACAATCCAAGATCGACATAAACTAAGAACAATTGCAAAAGGGTTACCTTATTTCAAAGCAAAAACTTCATATAACAGTAAAAATTTATTCTTGAGAACATTCAGGTTTCAAGAGCATAAATGAAAAGAAAGACCATCATCCATGATGGCTACAAACCATAACCAACAAGAAGACTAAAGCTTGAACTAGATATCTATATGTTAATTAATGGGAAGAAATCTTAAGACTAAAGGATTTGTTAATCCACGCCTTCCAACTCCCACCTCCCTTCCGAGTAATTGCTAAGTTCGATTTTTCATCAACTACCATCTTCTCTGTCTGTGGCCTCTTGCACAGCATGAAATTCCTAGTCCCCTGCGATCCAATTGTCTCCCATGGACTCAGAGCTGCAATCAAAATCAAAAAAAAAAAAAACACATATATCATAAACAACCCAAATATGTTTTCAAATAGAACGAAACATGTCATGCATCCAATCTGTGAGAGAAATTTGACAAATTCTAAAGCTTTCATTTACTATATACATTCAGACTTGACCCTGATGCTCAAATGGGCAAACAGGGTATTAGAGAACTTACCATCAGATCTACCATAGGGGACGTACAGCAGGAAATCATTGAGATTAGTGCCGAGAACGGGGAGCCGACCCTCACGAGCATAGGACTTCAAAGCGGTATCGATGACGGCGGCAACAAGGTCTTCCTCGTTCACCAGGAATCGGATGGGACCTGCGCTACCCAACACAGTGATTGTAATCAACATCCTGTTGCCCTTGGCGGGCTGAGTCTTCTTCTGCTTGTAGAGCAACATCTTCGTCCTGCAGAAGGAATCAAACTCGAATCGAAGGAACAACACCAACAAACAACAAAATCGAATGACGTCAACAAGGAAGGTGAAAGATTGGATTTTTTTGGGATTCAAACGACGAACAATGGAAGAAAAAGAAATGGGGTTATCGGCGGTGGGGGAGATTGGTATGCCTCTTTATGGGTCGACGCCGAGGCAGCGGTAGTACCAGCCCTTTTTGCAAGAACCGAAGGAGAAACCGGAGGCTACAGGCACCGTAAGAACAGCGCTCACCCTTGATTCGCAAAGGGGGAGCATGAAATTACTACTACTGTCAATTGCTTCCACCATTCACAATGGTACTGAAGGGATCTGAGTTTTGAGAAGAAAATAGAGAAAATTTGGAGGGATCTCTGAATATCGTCGTCTCTGAATGAATTCTGAAACTGAGTGATGAAACTCGGAAAATTAATGAACTAATCTGGGATCCGAAACACGGAGTTGTTGGTGTGGGCTAGGAAGAAGGAACGTGATGATTGTGGTATTTAAAAGGAGAAGAGTTGGAATTCGGTTTGGTTTGGGTTTCGGGACTCGAGGTTGAGTTCGGCTGGACTCTCTACTGTTTGGCTTTTACTTGTTTAATGAATAAAGGATAGGGACATGGAGGACAAAAAAATTTAAGCTAAAAATTTGAATTAATCAT